GAAAATTATCAACATTTATTAAAGAGCAATCGAAATTATTCTGATCAAAATCATGTGTAATACGTTCATCTGATTGATTAGAGCCACATTCTTCAACATTATAAAAAATGAGAGTAGTTGCTACTATTTCGATTATTACTTTAATTAATAATAAACTCATTATTAAGTGAATTATTAGAATTAAATAAGTGAGAATTTTCCAAACCTTCAATTTCAACAAGTCATTTTTTTATCAATAATTTTAATTGAGGCAATCTTAAGACCATTTTCACAACCATCGGAGAAATACTTTTAAGTCCTATTTTTCAAAGATACACTTTTGATTTCTGATGTAGTAATAACACCCGAACATTTATTATGAACAATATTAGTAAATCCATCACATTTAATAGGCAAATCAAATTTCAAGTATAATAACAAACTATACACTTGGTATCAGCAGACATCTTATAAATTTTAATTTTAATTAACCCGAAAAACTGTAAACATGTAATTTAATGTACCAGAAACAAACATCTAACCGCTACGAGTACTAACTGATAACTAATTTATTTATCTGAAAAAGGTTATTCAAAGTGGTTTATTATGCTAGTATTACTATAATAATAATTGACTTTGCAAATCCAGAATAAACCTCATCAGATAAATCTACCAATTAGTCGTGTGCTTCTCATATGTTGTACATTTATAATAAATAGCTTTAATTCACATATCACATACTATAAGGAAACAATAATCTTACACGTAAAACAATAACGAAGACACCTTTCAAATTCTAAAACCGATGGTCAAGGAACAAAAATTAATTCTATTGTTCAAACTTTGTTGTCTAATATAATATGCCACTATTTTATTAATCTATGCAAATTGTCTGAAATTAAATATTAATTATAAAAATCCTGAAAGAACATTGATATAATGATAATATGTATTTGTTGGTTGAAAAGCTCTCTTCACTTTGCTGAACACAATATGAACTGTGCCAAGATGAATAACATTAAAACGACGTTAATTGTTAACAATRATAACTTTAGATAATCTTTTTACGAGATGACTCTGACGATATATTTTAGTTCTGCATTGTAAATTTAATGTATATTATATTAGTTTCATTGTTAGATTTGGTATTGATCATTTGAATAAAATCAAATTATAGTTTTAAAAATATATTTTTGAAGTCTCTTGCATACAATTTAATATTATCACACTAAACATCGAGGTCATAAGATGGAAAATATTATTCGATTAGTAATATATTGTCAATCTTGTATAAAACTAATTAGAAGTACATAATATAGTCAGTGGCACCGAACTMAATTTAAAATGGGGTGGCCAACTAGTAAAAAATTACCAAGTACCCACCCACCCACCAAGAACTATTAAATTCAACCTATGTGGCTATACCTTAACGTTATCATCAGACAGCAGTCATGTAAAATATTTTAGTATTTGTACAATTATTTCAAATTTTTTCTGTTAGATATATACCCATCTGCATAACATGACCCACCACCCACCCATTTAAAAGGGGTGGCGACTGCCACCCTTACTTTATAGGTTTGGTGCCACATATTATATAGTGGTCGTGTCCAACGGCCTAAAAGTACAATATTCACAATAGAGTGATATCAGAATATAAATAAATAAATATACATCCCACAAAAAAAATATATGTTTTTCTTCTGAATATGAATGATAAATAAACTTTTTTTCTTGTGATTGTGTGGCAGTAATAGTAAGATCCAAACCTTTCTCATCATCACATCACGGATTCTAGTTATCCTATAAGTAAGTCCCATAATAATGAATCCCCAAACAGAAAACAATTTTCTAGTGTTATGTTATACAGTGAATAGTGATCGGAATGCAACAGATACTCACATAACAAGAATTGTAATATTTCGACTGTGTATCGGAACAGTACGTCGGTGGTGGGTGGAAATGTATGCTGTCCATACGCGCAGTCGCCCCGAGATAGGACGATCCGGACATGTCTACGTAAGCGTAGGTACCTGTGAAAAAAAGTAGAAAAATAAATATATTTTGAAAAAAAAACCTATCACGTTTCACAAATACTAGATGTAAGAAAAAGRAAGCAAAAGATATAAACGACATTGATTTTCATTCAACTCCCAAAGCGGGTAGTCATATTACACACATATTACCAGTTCGGTTGCGGAAAGTGTTATCCCATTTCGGTCCTGTAAATTTATGTCGATCGCCTTTGTACAGTTTCCACGTCAGAGACATTTCACCCGACGCATTCCGCCATCCACAGAACCCAGACTCGAACGTACATCGAGCTTCGGTGGGTACGAGAACTGAAACGATAATATCAGATAGGAATTATTGGACGTGTAAATTCAGCTTAAAAATGTAWCACAGTGATCAGACGTTTTGAAAATTATGACTGTTGCTACATTAGACACCATAGATTCATCAACTTCTACCAGCTTTTAAGCATATCATTATATGAAAATACCTACTAAAAAGCCTTTTTTATTTTTTACCTTGAGTCATATTGCTTAAAAGGTTTTTTATTCGTCTTAATATGATGCTACGTTATTTTAATAACAATAAATGATTTATTTTGGTTAACATGAAAAAAATCTCTCAATATTATGTTTTTATGTGACCACCCTAATATACCATAATATAATGTATTACAAACTTTAAATGCGCAAATTTATCAATCGACGGTCGTATTATTATCATCAAATATTCGATGACTTCAAATTTAAAACCATTGTCTTTAAATAAGTCAAAATTTATGTTTAGAAGATCAAACCACGTTTAAATACACATTTTATTGTGTTGAAATTATGTGATGGGAAATGTATTATAACAGAGTTAAATTACTCAAAAAAGTCATATATTATATGTATGTGTTATATTGTTTTGTTTCACA